AATTCTAAAAAATATCATGCCTTCTTAAGCTCGGAAATTTAGATATTCTATCTACAATTGAAGCCTTGGAAACTTAATTGTGGCCTTAAATTCTGCAAAAGATCAACATTTTCGACCTATAAAGTAATAAAATGCATCATTCTTTAAATTTCGAATTCCAGAAAATATCACGCTTTCCTAGGCTAGGAATTTTAAATATTCTGGCTGCATTTTAAGCCTTGGAATCTTGATTGTGGCCTTAAATTCTGCAAAAGATCAACATTTTCGACCTATAAAGTGACTTTTAGGTAAATCGGAATTCTAAAAAATATCACGCTTTCCTAGGCTCGGAATTTTAAATATTCTGACTACATTAAAGCCTTGAAATCTTCATTGTAGCCTAGATTCTGCAAAAGATCCAAATTTCCGACCTATAAATAGACTTGTAAGTAAACTCAGGGTTCTCTAAATTTTGAATTCTAAAAAATTACACGCTTTCCTAGGCTCGGAATTTTAGATATTCTGAATACATTGAAACCTTGGAATCTTCATTGTAGTCTTAGATTCTACAAAAGATCGATTTTTCCGACCTGTAAAGTGACTTTTAGGCGAGCTTTTAGGTAAATCCGAATTCTAAAAAATATCACAATATCCTAGGCTCGGAAATTTCGATATTTCGACTACATTGAGGCCATAAGGTGACTTTTAAGTAACTCTTTTGCCGGAATTTTTAAATGCAAAGCCAAAACGCGTGTCTTTCAGGTTTTCAGACTACAAATTGCAATTAATTGACAGATAAAATAAAACGAAACGGTGACCTCTGACGTCTCAAATTGAAACTACCATCGAGATAAAGTAGAATTTTCACGAAAATAAATCGATACTCGAGCCGGTAGCTCATCAGCAACTTATGAATAATAAAATAATGCCCCCTTTGTCCTTTCGAGCGTTGCATAAGACTGTGTGTTTTATTAAACGAGTGAACTATCTTCAAACCGCAAAGATTACACGAGGCAGAGTGATAACAATATAATTATTTAAATTATAATAAAATAATTCCCGGAATGCAGGAAGTCGAGATTAATTACATTCGCTTAAAGTATATCTGTTAAGAGCGAGCGCGCTGCTGTAACGTTATTCTTTGTGGGAATGTTGAGGTTACGTCATGAGAACAATGGACAATGTCGTCGTAACGATACGTCGACAATTTTAATTGTGAGACAACTTGACAATCAAAATAGACAAGTCGGTACTTCGATCGTCATCTTTTGTCTTTGTTTTTCGAATTTGCGTCTTCGATTTGGATCGTCCATTACCTACCATCTTTTGTCTTTATCGCATCAATTGGAACAAAAGTAAATTTTCTCACTCTTCATCTATGCATTCATTTTCTGACTGCATGTTGATCCTTGGATCTTCATTCATAAAATTTCCCTTATTAATTATCTTCAATCTTCTTTTTCATTCTATCTTTATCTACTACCTTCATAATTGTTGATTTGAGCTTCGGGGATGTATCCTCCCTCTTTCCCTTCACTTTTCATCTTCCGATTTAAGTTTTCTCTTCATAGATGGTCTACATGTTCAATCTTCACCTTTTGTTTTCACCCATCAATCTTCATGATTAGTTTTCATCTCCTGTCTTCTTTTTCACCATTCATCTTTATCTACTGCCTTCATCTTTGGTCTTTATTTCTGCCTGCATTTTTAGTTTTCCTCATCGGTTGTCACCTTTAGTCTTCATTTCAAACTTCACGGTCATCATGTTCCACCTTCCTTTTCGGTTTCTATCTTCTTACTCGGTCCTGACCTGGTGTTCGTCCATCGGTTTCCGCCTACGGTTTCTTCAATCTTCCTCCTCAATGTTCACGTTTAGGCTTCAGTCGGTATCTTCGGTTTTCACCGTTTGTCTTCATTTGTTCAATGATTCTTCGTTTTTGGTCTTCATCTTTTATCTTCGTGGTTCTGTCTTATTCTTCCCCTTCAACCGTTATCCTCTGTGTCCATTTTCGGTCTTCACATATGGTTATTACACCGTTCGAATCTTCTGCCTCCATAATTAACCTTCATATTAGATCTTCATCTTTGATTTTTAGCCAGTGCCTTGACCATCTTCGATCATCGTCAATTGTCTTTGTCCTACGTCTTCGTACATAACCATTGGTTATCATTTACGCCCTTAATATCTTCAGGTCATTTTCTGTCTTCATCTTTTATCTTGTATCATGTAACCTGATCCTTCGATCTTTATTTTCGATGTTCCCCTCGCCCATCAGTATTCATAATTCGTCTTTATCTTCTATCTTCTCTTTTTACTCTGCCTTCATCTTCGGTCTGCATCTTATCCATTCACCTTCTGTCTTCTTTTTAGTTTTCACCATCGGTTTTCATCTTCGACTTTCATCTACAGCAAGTTTTCATAATCTATCTTTTTTGTCCTTCATCTTATCATTTCTTGCCTTCAAATGTGGTCTTCAATTAATGTCTTGACATTTGGATCTTCTTTTTGCATCGTGATCTTCAATCGATCTTCCTCTGTGGTTTTCACGCTTAATCTGCATCTTTGGTTATCACCTTCTTAATTTCCTAGGTCCTCATCTCTTCAACCAACCTATGTCCTTGATCTTCATTTTCGGTTTTCGATATTTCTTTTCACCTTCGGTCTTCATCATCAATTTTTATAGTCGCCGATCTTCGAATATCACCTACGGCCTTTGTTTTCCATCTTTCGCTCCTCTTCTTCTGATTTCATGATTTGTCTTGATCTTTAGATCTTCACCTTTTGTCTTTATCTCCGATCTACTTTTTCCCCCCTTCATTTTTTATCATCTTTGATCTTCATCTTATAAATTCACCTTCTGCTTTCATATTTAGTCTTATTTTTTTCATCTTCCATCTTTCTCTTCGGTCTTTCTCTCCTGGTTTCATAATTGGTCTGGTGGTTTGACTCTGTAGTCTTCATCTTCTACCGGCCATCTGCAATTTGTATCTTTACTTTTAGTTGAAATCTTTGGTTTTTATCTTCTGTTTTCATTTTCGGTCTTTATTCGTTCGATCGACCTTCCTTTTTGGTTTTCGTCCTTTGTCTTCGCCTTTTCGTTTTCTTCTTCTCCTTTGCCCTTTATTCTTTGTATTGATTTTCGGTCTTCGACTATGGTTTTCACATTTCATCTTTCACTTCAGCCTTCATCTTCGGATTTAGACTTCATGTTCGATCTTCATCTTTGGTGTCCTGCCCCCGGGTGTCATGTTTGGCCATCGTCATTTATCGTAAGACCTTCTTTTTTGACGTTCTTAACTCTTCATCTTCAATTTTGATGTTCCACTTCGATATTCTTCTGGTGCTTGCACCTTTTGTCTTAATCATCTTTATTCACTCTTTCTTTTCATCTTCGTCCTATATCATCAATCTAGCTTCTTGTCACATTTGTTCTTCTTTTTCGATGTTCATTTTCTGTCTTCGCCCATCGCTCTTCTTGATTGGTCTTCCATCTTCTTCTTTACTCTGTCTTCATTTTTGGTTTTCGCCATCCGATTTTCATCTTCGGTCTTCATTGTATGCCTGCCTTCGTAATTGGTCATCCTCTAGTGTTTTGATCCTTCGATCTTCTTCCAGCCTCATCTACATTTCTCATCTTCAATCTTTATCATCATCCTTCATCATCAATCTTCATCTTTTATCTTACTCTTTGGTGTTCACGGTTAGTCTGCATCTTTGATTCCCGCAACCTATCATTTCTTCAATTAACCTTTCTCTTTGATTTTCATGTTCAGTTTTCATCAGTCCTTCGGTGTTCTTCCTTCCCTTCATCTTCGGTCTTTATCTTCTGATTTCTTCATTTGTGTTAATCTTTGGATCTTTACCTTCGGTCTACAGTCTTTATATTCGATCTTCTTTTTTAATCGCTTTTTAATTCCCCTTCATTTCTTCGATCTTTATCTTTTTGATTTACCTTCTATCTTCACAATCGGTTGTCCTATTCAGTCTTCCTCTACATTCATCTATGCTTCCATCTCTCCCGTCATCTTCTGGTTTCAAATTTTTTTCGTCATCCAGTGTCTTGTTTTTATGTTGCATTTCTGGTTTTGACTTTTGGTCTTCATTTTCGGTTTTCTTTTCTTTCTCCTTCTGCATTAATCTTCGGTCTTCATCTTCCATCTTTATTTTTGTTTCCACCTTCATCTTCTACTTTCCTCTTCGGTCTTCATTTTCTGTTTGGTTGATGTTAATTTTTTATTCTTATCTTTTTATCTTTGGGTTTTCATCTGTGACGTTCGTTTTCAGTCTTCATCAGTCAGGATCAAACATTAAAAAAATATTTCAAAAAATTAAAAAAAATTGTTTGAAATTAAAAAAAATTTTTAAATTATTTCTGAATATTTGAAATTTTTTAAATCACGTAATCTTTTTTAAATTCAAAAATTTGTTTCGAAATGTTTTTGAATTTTTTTTAATCACTTGATTTTTTTTTATATCATCCCTTATGTGTTTCATTTTTAAAAGGAGACTTTTCTAGATTAAAATATATAGGGTGTACCATTTAAAAAATGAGGTTAGGTCCGTTAACGGAGATACCCTATAAAAGTGTCGAAAATAGGACACCCTGTACAGTTTACGGCGCCTGACTGTTTATCGGACCAGAACTCGATGGTTATAGAAGTACTTGGTATTGGTTACTTGGCTTGGAAATTACTCGATTAATTATCGATTATCATTGATAAAATTATGGTCATTAATAAATAATTAAAATCGGAAGCGTGGAAAATGTGTCTAATTAAGCAACACCCGTTGTTTATACCAATTTTTAATGTTCGATTGTTCTACTACGCTCTTATAATTCAATCGCAATTATACACACACTGTTTATAATTGTTACTGTTGATATCGCTATATACGATTTCAATTACAATGATGTAATAAAAGAGGTTTACTTTAAATCACTTTTTTTATATTCCATTGTAACGTAATGCGATTGAAATTGTGTGCGGAAAATTGTTTATCCCACGTGTCGTAGGAAGGGCTAATTTCATTAACTAGTTCGATTAAGTTATTCAGAAGAGAACAAATGAGAGAAAAGGAGAGTATACGTGGACACTTTGAGTTTGAGGTATGGCGGTGAGTAAAATAAAGAGGAGGGGAGGTTGAAGATCGAAGACTGAAGATCCAAACCGAAGAAGGAAGACAAACCTCAAGAGTGTCATTAAGAGTCTCAAGTTATGGTCTCCTAATACATACTTATTATGCACGTAAATTTCTTGAAGACACCTTGTTTGATATTATGCTCTCCTAATACAACTTCAATAAGAAGGAACCTTTACGGATTGGTAAGTACAATTTTGCTTTTAATATTTTCGATCACAGACTCACAAGACAGACATATCACTTTTTCCTGATCAATATCGATGTATTAGGATCGCAGAAAATGGAGGAAGGTCTAACATTTTCAGTTGAATACAGAATAGAGAAGAAAAAGAAGAAGATCGAAGGATGAAGACCAGAAGAGAAAAGTCGAAGATGAAGACAGAAGACGAAGGTCTTAAATAAAAATCAAAAATGAAGATCCAAGAAACGAAGTAAGATAAAAATCAAAAATAAAGAATAGAAAAACCAAAGCAAAATATTTAATCAAAAAATAAATCGAAGAAGCTCAAAGTGAATATAAAATAAAATTTAAAAAAGAGATATGGACGATGGAGACTGAAGATTAATGCGGAGGATGAAGAACAAAAGGAAAAGTTGACCGAACATTTCAAATTGAAGACCAAAAATGGAGGTATACTTAGATAAAGAGTGAAAAAATGAAGATGAAATATAAAAAAAATGTAGTGATGTAGAAGACGAATACAGGTCGAAGGGGAGGAAGAAGGTAGAATGACGAAGATAAAAGTTGAAGATTGAAACTAAAAACCGAAGATAAATATGATAAATGATGAAAACCAAAAACGAAGGTCAATCCAACAAATGAAGACATAAGGTGAAAACCAGACCAAACGTGAAGACCGAGGAGGAAGATCAAAGATGAAGACTTAAGGGAAGCAACGATGAAGTCAGAAGATGAAGACCGAAAAGGGCGATGGTAGACGAAGGCTGAAAAACTGTAGATAAAGACCGTAGACGTAGACCAACACTGATTATATCTAAAAATGAAAGCAGAAGATTAATCTTTAAGATGAAGACCAATAATAAAGGTGGTAGATGAAGATGATGAGTGGAAAAGAAGATATCAGATGAAGACTAATCATGAATACCGATGGGCGAAAACAAAATATGAGGTTCGAAGTTGAAACCGGAGATGAATCCAGAAGAGCGAGATAGAGGAGGAAAACCGAAGGATAAGGGTACAGGATGAAGATTGAAAATAAAACCGAAGACGAAGATAATAAATTAAAGCAGAACATGAAGATCGAAGAGGAAGATAGAGTTAAAGGAGGAGAAGAAGAAGGTCGAATGGCAAAGATAAAGGATGAAGATTGAAAATAAAACCCGAAGGAAGACAATAAATGAAAGCCGAACGTGAAGATGAAGACAGAGGAGGAAGAAAACCGTAGGGCAAATGTAAACGATGAAGACTGAAAAACCGAATGCGAAGACAGTAAGTGACGGCAGAAAATGAAGATCGAAGAAACAAAGACGAAAAATGATGACAAAAGGTAAAAGCTCAGGTTGCATACTAGCCATAAAGTCGAAGAGGGAGATCGAAGAAGAAGACTGAAGAAGAAGAAGATAGAAGAAGACTCAGGGGTGAAGATATTACATGAAACTAGTTATAAAGGCAAAATGTGACGATGGAAGAGGAAGATGAAAACCGAAGACAAAAACAGAAAGTGAAGTTTAAAAAGGTGAAAATCCAAGGATCAAGACACATGATGACGAAATGAAGACAGAACGAACACAAAGGTCGAAGATAACCGAAGACGAAGGTAGAACAGGAAGATCGAACATTATGACCATAAAAGTAAAGGCATGGTGTGCAGTCATGATATAAAGATCATAGAGAGAGATCGAATATTTTAGTTACATATGGACAAAACAAAAGTCGATCGATGACTGCAGATGAAGATCAAAGGTGAATGCAGAAAATGAAGAAGAAAACCGAAAGACTGAAAATAAAAACCAAAAGCGAAGAATAACTGAAGGCCGAAGATGAAGACGGGAGAGGCAGGTTGATCCAAGAGATGAAGGCCAAAGATGAAGACGGAAAGTTAAATCCAAGGATGCAGACTAACAATAAAATAAAAGAGGAAGATCGAACATGAAGACTGAAGACGAAGTTTGCGGAAATTAAAATAATCAAAAAGATTGAATATGCAGACCAATTATAAAGGCAAAGGCTAGAAGATGAAGGCTGAAGAGGAAGAAGAAAACGACCCAACACAGATAAAAGAAGAAAACTGCTGACAAAAATCGAAGGCAAAAGCAATAGATGAAGGTAGAAGATGACAAGATCAAAGAGCAAGGTTGACTGAAGAGATGAAAACAGAAAGTCAAAACCAAAGAAGCAGACCAAAAGTGAAACTCGAAGAGGAAGATCGAAGATGAAGATTGAAGACGAAGCTCGAAGGTTAAAACCAAAGATATAGATTGATGGACGAACGAACACAAAAGGGGAAGATTAAAACTGGAGAACCGAAGACGGAAACCGCGGAGCTGAAGTCTAAAAATGAAGATGAAATCCAAGTACCAAGTCACATGACGAAAAAATGAAGACCGAAAAACATTTGAAGGTGGGAAGCGAATAGGAAGGTCTGATGAAGATCAAAGGCTAAGCTAAAGCATGAATACAGAAGAGGGAGGGAAAGATCGAAGGCAAAAAGTGAAGGCACAAAATGAAGACGGCAGAACGTCAAAATTGAAGATGGGGCCAATGATCATGGATGTAGACAAAAGACGAAGATGGAAGATGAAGATCAAAGGTGAAGGCAATAGAGAGAAGATGAAGATCGAAAGTGGGATTAGCCATGAAGGTTGATTGATGGTGGAGACTGAAACTGGTGACATGGTATGAAGGCTCAAAATGAAGATCGATAAGTAGGCCGAAAATGAAGACCCAATAATGGGCGAAGAGAAAAAGTGAAGAACTACGGGCGATAACAAAGATGAATTTCGAAGATGAAGTAGCCCAAAATGAAGGCAGTAATAAAGATAAAGACTGAAAAGGAAGATTCAATATGAAAATGAAAAAGACATCAAACTCGATGAGGGAAAAAGATGAAGGCCAATGGACTGTGGACGAAGACAAAAGGTTAAGACCGAAGGACGAAGACTATGCAATATGCATGAAAATCTAAGATGAAAAACGAATGCTAAAGGTAGAAGCGGAAGCGAAGATCGGAGATAATGACCCAAGACACAAAATGAAGATCAATCAAAGTTGAAGACCAAAGATGAAGATCGCTAGAGGGAGGGAGGAAAAATTTGAGGACCTAGGATCCAGATAATGAGAATGATGAAGACCGACGATTAAGCAGAAGATCAAAATCTTGGATAAAATCGAAAAGTTTCAGAGCAGAAGATGAAGAAGAAGAATGAGGAACACCGAAGGGCGAACACAATACATGAATGGAAGATCGAAGATTGTAACCATAAAGGCCGAAGTCATGAAATGAAGATCAAAGAGAAAGATCGAATATGTAGGCCGAAGAATAAGACTGAAGGTGAAGGCCAACCGTGAAGACCGAAGATGGTATCTGAAGACAAAGATGAAGATCGATAGATAAAGACAAAAGTTGACCGGTGATTGAAGATGACCCAAGAGTCAAGACTGTGGATGAAGATCGAACTTGAAGACCAACTATATAAACGTAAAACATGAGGTGAGAAGATGAAAACCGAAGAAGACTAAAAACAAAGGTAGAAGATGAAGAGTGAAGAAGAAGATTGAGGATGAAGCAAGAGATGAAGACTCACGATGTAGTGGCAGATGAGGATGCTGAGGAACAAAAAATATCGATTGGCCATTTGTTGATGTTCCCCTTTATCTCGTAAGCGAGCCATTTTGAGTTTACCATTTAAAGTTTGGCTCAAAAAGAGGAAAATTTAGTTTTTTGATAGCACTAACAATTGCGGAGATATAAAATGGGACACCCTGTACTTACTTCTTTAATTTTCAATCCCAATTGAGCATCAATAATTCGGCGTTGAGCAATTTTAATTGAAAAATGAAGCTTAATTTTTGTCAAAAGTTTCAATTTATGCGACTCGGTAAGCAATTAAGCTTAATTTTTGCAAAATATCCAATTAGCGTAATTAAGCTTGACGCTTTCCCATGGAATTTTAATTTCTGCCCCAATTAAGCATTAATAATTCACCGCTGAGCCGTTTTAATTGAGAAATTCATTGACAATGAAACAAAATCAACAAACCCACGGGGGCGCCACAGGGGAATCTATGGGGCCCGATTTTTTGTGCTATTTTTACCGGTTGCATTTCTCTAATTACTCACACTAAGCGGAATACAAACACTCACTAATAAAAAATGAATGAGCAATGATTGCGGTTCGGTTTTAAATCGCACCGTCCGAAAGATAGGGCTCGTGTCCGTTCGAGTGGAGGTCAGCGACTACTTGGAGCCGTTTCGGGAATAAATTAGTGGATGGTCATCGAGTAGATTTACGGCAGGTGTGCAAGTTCGCCGTGTGGTCACGCCCCTCCCCTTTCACAACGCCCACTTCTTCGAACAACTGACCCCTATTATAAACACGTAATCACCGAAATCAATTATATACAGGGCGCTCTTCTTTTCGTTGCAGAATCGCGACGATGGCACCGGGCGTACAGAAGCGAATGACGGCGCGCCAGATCCTGCTCAAGGAGTTGAACCCGTTCCTCACGTGCACCCTCTGCAGGGGCTACCTCATCGACGCGACCTCGCTGGTCGATTGCCTCCACGTCTGTAAGTATACTCCAAATTGGCACCCGTGTCTCCGGTTTAACGCGACTCTTTCAGTTTGTCGCGCCTGCATTTTGAGGTACTTCGAAAATTTCAAGCTGGGCTGTCCCACGTGCAACGTCGTTTACAAGAAAAAGAACAATTCGTGCTTCAGGTATAAGCGTTTTTCTCCCGATGCAAAGCGCGCCTCCTAACGTTTTTTCTTCGCAGGCCGGATCCGATCGTTCAGTCTTTGGTATATAAATTAGTTCCTGGACTGTACAGCAAGGAGGTGCAGAGGAGGGAGGATTTTTATAGGAGCACGGGAGTCCGTGCGAGCAGTTCCTGTAGCGAAGATAGCGTATTAGGCGACCTGAACGATGAGCACGAGGAATGGGTAAGTGCGTTTTTTTCCATGTTTAATCGCGGTTGCGTGCCGAAAGGTAATTCACGATTCGACGCGGGATCAAAGCATGATATTTTCAACGCAAATTGATACTTTAAGATGTTGGATGTAAAAATTGATATCCAATTTTCTTGTTTAATTTTGCTCTGTGTGAATTCCACGACCTTCACTTTGTGGAACACTAATTCGGACATAGAGATTTCGTAGTTCTGGACGCGACCATGTGAAATGAGGGCGCATCTGTCGCAGATATTAAAGGTGACCGATACGATTAATTCACTTTTTTATCTGACTTTTTTACATAAGAAGAACGCAGTGAGATCCGTGATCCGGGTCACTGAAAGCACTAAGGACGGGATCGGCGCCCTTCGTTAGTGCCTCTTAGACTTTGCATCAGCCCGACCAGCCGTTTTTGAAGAAACACTATGGCGATATGAAACGATATACTTAAATGTCTAGGAAATTGGAATAATATAATCGTAGTTATGTTTCTGTAATAATTCCATCTTTACAAAAACGGATATTTATTATACAGGGTGGTGTTTTTAAGTGGACCATTAGAAGTATCTCGGGAACGGTTTGGAATTTTGATTCGGGACTCATTATTTTTTTTGAATAATCGATCGAAAGGAACCATTTAAAAATTTTTCAAGATGGCCGCTTTTTCGGTTGTATCAGAACGATACCGGAACTTTCTTATTTCAAATGGCACTATCTTTTCTGATGGTATTTTTGAATTCCTCATAAAAAATCGGTATGATTTTGTTAATATGATGCTATGTCTAACTGACATGGTTTCGAAGTTATTTGACATTTTTGATATTTTTTCACAGTTTCAGAGGTTCAGTAAATTAGCCATATATCACTGTTGTCTGACGACCTAGCAAAACGTTGTTTTCACGAATGGGCAGCTAAAAATCTACTCTATTAAATGTTATTGGTCTGATTTTCAAATGTGATTCGAAAATAATACAAATAATAATCTGTCAAAGTTGACAATCGGTTTTTGGTCAAAAACTCGAAATTTTCAAATGGAAACCATATGTACTATGTATCAATTGACAAAAAAATGTACTTGCAAAATTTTTCTAAAGTGGACAGTTTATTTTAGTTTTTGTGGTATGTGGTAAAATAAACAAAAATCAAATTTTTAAACATTCTTAAATACAAAATTTTAGATTTAGAAACAAAATAACTAAGTAATAGAATAATATAAACCATATTTACAAACAAATATACGTATAGAAAATAAATAAAAATTAAATCTGTCTGAAACTTAAAAAAAAACACACTTTTTAGATGGTATAAAATATAACTTGTTATTGCTAAAAACACAAGATTTAACGAGATTCCCATTTTTTAATAAAATTTTTTTCAAAATATCCCATCGGAATATCCATTAGCATCAAAAACTACACAACTCTGTATGTATAATAATAACAAAGATAGCCATGTTATGCTACTCAATTTAAGACACCTTGTATATACGATCATGCAACAGTGTGTTGATCTTTCCTAGCATTATACCTGTTAAAAAATATCAAAAAACCTTTTGTGCAAATGTCAACCATAGATGGTTGCGCATCTACAGAAATTATTTTATGAATGTACAGGGTGTCCCATTTTTACGGTGTCATAGACAACTGATTTTTTTTTAATGGAACACCCTGTATATTTTTAGTTGTTTCGATGTCATTTTTTAACCTCTGCATGAAAACCTGTTTTGGTTTTTTGTCAATGTTACCAAATTACTAATTTTTTTCCGAATAATTCCCCATAAGCAACCCCACTTTGATAAATCGTAGAGACTTTGATTTTAGAGTTAAGAAATACATTTTGGATCAATAATGTTAATCTGAACAAAAGGAAACACTCTGGCAATGAGAAAGTTGGGTTTAGTAATATAGGGTGTTCACAAAAATTAGTAAAATTTCCAAATTTCAAAGATTCATAATAATACTAGTATTTTTAAATAATCTTATTTTACTACGAAATAAGGAGTACACTTGCAACAAATCATAAATTTATGGTACTTGTTGACTGTCTGGAATTCTTTGATTTTTTATTATCACGGCCTACTCCTGTTTATAAACATGTATTAATTGGGCAACTACTTTTGTGAAAAATATTGAATAACTATAATTGAAGAGCACACAAAAGACTATCGAATAGAGAAATAAAAAGTGGTAGTTCCATTTGAAAAAAAAATGGTTCATGGCAATATGGAAATTATACTATTTTTGTGAACACCTTGTATCACCAAATTCAACTTTCTCATTACCAAAGTGATACTTTTTATTCAGATTCACATTATTGATCAAATGTATTTTTCTTAACGTTAAAATCAAGGTCGCTACTATTTATCAAAATGGGAGTGGCTTATTATAGAGAATTATTAGGAAGTAGTAATGATCTGGCAACATTGACAAAAAACCAAACAGTGGATAGATTTTCATGCAGAGGTTAAAAAATTAGCTAAATTACAAGGTGTTCCATTTAAAGAAATCCGCTGTGCATTGACACCGAAAAAAATGGGACACCCTGTACATTCAAAAATAATTTCTGTAGATGCGCAACCATCTATAGTTGACATTTGCACAAAAGGTTTTTTGATATTTTTTACCTGGTATGAGCTAGGAAAGATCAACACATTGTTGCATGATCCTGTATACAGGGTGTCTTAAATTGAGTAGGACAACATGGCTATCTTTGTTATTATTATAGGTACTTACAGATTCGGTTAAAGTTGTGTAGTTTTTGATGCTAATGGATAGGTATTCCGATGCGATATTTGAAAAAATAATTCGTTTCGTAGGCTCATGTAAGGTGTGAAGCACTAAGGCACTAACCAAGCACTAACGATTGGCGATCGTCCCCTCGTTAGTGCTAACTTCGCGGTCCTCGTATTTTAATGAGTTTCAATTTGAACTATAAAGTTGAGACCCCCAACTACAGATCATACAACATATACAGGGTGTAGCATAATTCCTTTACCATAAGAGAAACGATGCGCAGGTAATTATGGGGAGATTGAAGAACTTCGGATTCTGTAATATCGTTAATGAAAATTTCCGTACGTTTGGATCATTTCAGTGCAAAAATTAAACTGCAACTAAAAATTGTGCCTAAGAAAAGGTATTAGATGCAGTGGGAATTATTTTGTGCAACATTAAAGACGGGTGCAAAAATTTTTGCACGTCTGGATCATTTCAGTGCAAAAATTCAACTTGATTTTTACGCCCACGAACCCATTTTTAATCTAACAACGAAAAATTGTGCCTAGGAAAATATATTAGGCCATGTGGGATTATTACGTACAAGTAGAGACTGGTGCAAAACTTTTCGCACGTCTGGATCAGTTCAGTGCAAAAATTAAACTTAACTTAAGCTCTCGAACTCATTTTAAATTTAGCAAGTATAAATAGTGCCTAGGAAAAGGAAGAACTAGATTCAGTGGTAATTATTTCGTACATTAGAGAATTTTTGCATATTTGGATTACTTTAGCCACGAACTTATTTAAAATGTAGCAACTAGAAATTGTGCCTAGGAAAAGGCATTAGGTGCAATGGGAATTATTTCCTACAACATTAGAGACTGGTGCAATAATTTTTGCATGTTTGGAGCATTTCAGTGCAAAAATTCAACTTGACTTTTAAGTTTACGAACCCATTTTAAATTTAGCAACAAACAATTGTGCCTAGGAAAGTTTATTACGTGTAGTGGAAATCATTTCGTACAACATTAGAAACTGGTGCAACATTTTTGCATGTTTGGATCATTTTAGTACAAAAATTAAACTGGATGAGCCCATTTTAAATTTTCCAACTAAAATTTATGCTTAGGAAACAGTATTAGGTGCTGTGGGAATCATTTCATACTACATTAGGAACTGGTGCAAAAATTGTCGCACTTATGGATCATTTCAGTGGAAAAATTAAACTTGATTTTTAAGCCCATGAACCCATTGTAAATTTAGCAACTAAAAATTGTGCCTAGGAAAAGGCATTAGGTGCAATGGGAATTATTTCGTACAACATTAGGGACTGGTGCAACAATTTTTGCCCAGTGCAAATGGTTGAATGATTTCCCATTATAGAACATGTCAGTGTTGAAGCACTACGTTCTAACTTAACTAAGTACACATTGTGCCTAGGAAAAGGTATTAGGTGCAATGGGAATCATTAGAAACGGGTGCAAAAAATTTTTGCGCATCTGAAAATTGGGCATAGGAAAAGGTATTAGGTACGAAAGCGTAGAACGGACAAGGTAGTTCAAATTATGTACCTAATCCCGAGATATAAGTCGGGATTATACTTAATCTCGAGAAATAAGTGGGGATTATACGTAATCCCGAGATATAAGTCGGGATTATACTTAATCTCGAGAAATAAGTCGGGATTATCGTAATCTCGAGATATAAGTCGGGATTATACGTAATCTCGAGATGTAAGTGAGGATTATACTTAAGTGTAATCCTCACTTATATCTCGAGATTATGTATAATCCCGACTTATATCTCGGGATTACAAAATGTGAACTACCTTGTCCGTTCTACGCTTTCGGAATTAGGTGATGTGGGAACTAGCACGTACAGCATTAGACTGGTGCAAAAGGAGTATTTCAGTGCAAAAATTAAATTTTATTTTTAAGCCCACGAACCCATTTCAAATTTAGCAACTAAAATTGTGCCTAGGAGAAGATATTAGGCGCAGTAAAAAGCATTTCGGACAGCATTAGACACTGATACAAACATTTTTGCACGTCTGGTTCATTTCAGTGCAAAAATTAAACTTGACGAGCCCATTTTAAATTTTCCAACTAAAATTTATGCCTAGGAACCAGTATTAGGTGCTGTGGGAATAATTTCATACTACATTAGAAACTGGTGCAAAAATTGTCGCACTTAGGGATCATTTCAGTGGAAAAATTAAACTTGATTTTTAAGCCCATGAGCAACTAAAAATTGTGCCTAGGGAAAGGCATTAGATGCAATGGGAATTATTTCGTACATTGGAAACTGGTGCAACAATTTTTGCACGTCTGGATCATTTTAGTGCAAAATTTAAACTTGATTTTTACGTCCACGAACACATTTTTAATTTAGCAACAAAAAATTGTGCCTCGGAAAAGGTATTAGGTGGAGTGGGAATCATCTACAACATTAGAAAGTGGTGCAAACATTTTTGCACGTCTGAATCATTACAGTGCAAAAATTAACTTGATTTTTACGACCTCGAGCCCATTTTTAATATAGCAACAAAAATTGTACCTAGGAAATGGCCTTAGGTGCAATTGGAATTATTTCGTACAACATTAGAGCCTGGTGCGACAATTTTTGCACATCTGCATCATTTTAGTGCAAAAATTAAATTTGATTTTTAATCCGTGATAATTAAGTCACTCCTTCCTATCACTGATCGCCTGGGGAACGTTACCTTTGAAACAACATACATTTCACTCCAATTCGTGTAAGCGCCGATCAAAAATCCAAATTTGGTCCCAACCAAATGCGCCTAATTGTTTTTTGTTCCAATTCTTAATTGAAATTCGATTACTTGTTCTAAAGGCTTCTAATACGATAACATTTTAGACATTCTGATCTGAAAGTCTCTCGAAAACCCTTAACAATTGTACTCAATGGTAAAATCGTCTTAACAGCTCTAATTCTCGTTAGATCTAATTTGACATGCTTTTCGACCGTCTTTTATTCCCATTTGTGTTTTCGTTAATGCCATAATGTCTCTCATGAAGTCTGTGATAAAATTTAATTTGTAAAGGGCAATTTTCTTATTGAGCCTAATTATTGTTGGTTCCAATTGTTGAATTTGCTTTCTGTTTAAATTCAGGTTTCGTCGACCTGCGGCGACCAGAATCAGTACCTCGGTCCGGACGACGCGATCTCGCTGTCCCTGGAATACTACAAGCCCCACCTGGACACGACGCAGAACTCGCCTTCCTCTGATACCAAAAGTACAAATAACCAAGACTCATCGAAACAGAGTGATCTAATTATTAATAGTGCAAATTTAAGTGCCGAAAAGACGTATAGCTGTGATAGTAACAATTTTGTGAGTGTCGGCGACGACAAGACGAGGGTTGGCGAGAGTTTCGTCGACGAGTTCGCCGATTCGCGCCGGGGAGGACGAAGATACCTGCAGTGTCCGGCGGCCGTCACGATGTCGCTCCTGCAGAAGTTCGTGAGGATGAAGTACGCCCTTAGCGCCGAGCATAGGGTAAGTTTCTGCGAGAAGTCGGCCCCGTGACTTACAGTTTGGTGCAGGTCGACATAATTCACTCGGGCGAGATTTTGCCGCAGCATTTCAATCTGATGGACGTCGCCTATACGTTCCAATGGAAAAGGGTGAGTAGGTCAGGTGGCGACGTGCCGCATTATCTTTTACGATAATTAGAGATTGTAACCTCAAGTGTGTCAGCGCTCTAAATTTCTTCTCACTTTACCCCACGGTTTCCCCGTTTCTATTGTGCGCGATCGTGCCGCAGGTTGTTGAACTACGAATCCGTAATTTTCACGCTAACTGGGCCGCTTTGTACAATGTTTCTACGAGATAGTTGTCACACTTGATGGTCTACCATAATTTTGACCTGCCACGCTTAATTTAATCGTTAAAAATACGTTGCTCCCGTTACTAACGTTACCTTTTTCCCCCGAACTGAAGGTGAAACCCATGCGATTTTTCTATCGAATTTTCATACCGGCGAAGATACAGCCGATTAAGATCATCAGCACGTCGTCCAGTGACGGAAAACAGTTGCAAGTAGTACCTGCGAAGTCGAATTCGACGCCGGCCATTCTCCAGAGGAGCGACACCAAAGATAACCTACTAAAACTGGAGATGGACTCGCAAAATTACAAGAATAAAGAAAGACTGATGACCAATTTACAGCTGCAGTGCAAGATAAAGCCGCACGGTGACAAGGTGGAGGAGACGAATTGCGTTTTTGAGTACCAAGAGCCGGATAAGGATGAAATCAGGGAGTTCGCCGAGAAGAGGGATCGGGAGTGGGCCCTGCAGAAGAAGCTCGACGAGGAAAAGGAGAAGCATCGGAATGGGAAGAAGAGGAAGAAGAATAAGCACTCAAAGAACAACCTGTTGTACAAGAAGAGGAAGTTGCACGCCGAGATTACGTCGAGCGAGTCTTTGCAGAGGGAGGAAAGCTTGAAGCTTAAAGTAAAGCTCACTCCTCACAACGGCTACAAGCACAAGCACCATAAGAGCTCGCAGCCGAGCTTGGTGGTGGAGACGCCGAGGGCGCCCGAAATGAGCTCGAAAGAGAAGCTTTTGCAAATGAGGCAGGTGCGCCATAAGCATATCTCGTCCGAAGACAGAATGAAGAATTTGGCGCAGGTTTTGGGCCCGCTGCTGGAGGAACCCAAGGCGATTGAGGTGGCCGAAGCCGCACCGCGGGTGGCCGATGAGATTCCCGCCCCGAGCGACACGGGGAAGACCTTGCGCAGCGACTTTAGCGTCAAGACCAAAGAAATCTGCATGCAAAAGTATCCGACCGTACAAATCGAACGCAACGAGCAGACCGAGAAGCACGCACAGAAGACATTTCTTAAAACATTTCAATCTTATACCGAAAAATTGCCTCAGCCAGATAAACTCAAGGGACGCCTGCCCGTCTACGCGCCGAAAAACCCGCCACAGCCCCAACCCGCAAAGCCCCCCGAGCAGAAGATCCCGAACCTGCACCAGCAGTGCGCGCCGGTCGAGCCGAAACAGGTACCCAGGCCGGACCCTCCGAAGCTCGAGAAGAAGTACTTCGTCAACGAAAACAGCTCGTCGTACTCCACCGGTTTCACGGTGAGCAAAGTGGAGGTCGGTGCCAAACGCAGACCCGACGAGCCCCCCGCGCAAGACAAACGCCCCAGCTTGGAAATCACCCTCATCAATCCCCCACCCTCGCCCGAGAAACCGAAGCTCGCACCGGTCGCGAAACGCCCCCCACCTCCCACGATACCCCTCGAAAGGATAAAGAAGTCCATCAATCGCATCTCCGGCCTGAGCATCATTCCCAAGCTCCCCGAGAAGTGCGACAACACCGGCGCGCTCGACCTCTCCAAACCGAACCGGCCGCCCGCCGACCAGCCCAAGCCGCCCAACGGCCTCACCCTCCCCGAGCGCGCCGAACTCTCCAACCTGCAGATGCTCTCAAAGGTCGCGACCGAGCACCCGAACATCAACAAGACCGCGTTCGGCGCCCTCAACAACAAGCGCCTCCCCGTCCCCAACCTCCAAACCCTCAAAATACCGTGCGTGCCCCCCAAGTCGAACCTCGCCAAACTTCCGAAGCTGAACGAGATCAACAAGACGCAATTTCGGCTCGCGAACCCGCAGCTGCGCAACATGCGCCCGAATCAAAACCAAAGCGTGCGCAACATCCCGAACCCCAGCCTGCTCGTGCGCCAGCAGAACCAAAACCGGCTCAACTCGCTCGCGCAGAACCCCGCCGAGACCAAGGAGCCCAAACCGGAACCGATCAACGAGAAACCCGAGCCGAGCTCGTAACCCTCCCGGACCAATACAAGTGCAACTTTATAATTTGAAATCATCGCCCCCCCTCATGTTCCTCTCTCCATATTATATTTTATTGTTAGTTTTTTTTCATTTTACTGTTACCTGTTGTTAGGTTTATCGCTTTGTTTTATGTGTACCTAAACTCAAAGACATTGTGTACATAATCTCAAGATATCTAAACGTCAAGTACTGTACTTATATATCAATATGTAGTTTTTAGCGAGTAAAAATTTGAGATGGTTTTAGAGAAAAGAAAAGGACGTGAAGTTCGTTGTTTTAATAGTTATTTGTGGCATGCAACTACAGGTACTGTAAGAAATGTAGTCGATGTGCAAATAAATTTTATGGAAATCGGGTGCGTTTGCTTTTGGATTTCCCCGATTTTCTTCATTAATGCAGGTAGGTTTTTCTTGGACAGCTCGCACCCCACTCATCTCAATGTAGCAGACAGGAAGCGTTTCGGTCTATAAAGATTAGTAGATAAAGTCATTTGAATTAATGCTCCATTGCCTTCGTGCCAAACGTTAGACATTGCTATTTCGCAATATTTTATGTGCCGCGCAATTCACTACCTTTGTTATTTGTTTGTTTGTGTTATTTTCTGTTACAGAAAAGACCGAACGCGTCCTTTTGAGCTCACAAGGTTGCAACCCGAAGTTCAAAGGTAGGTAAGTGTTTATTTTTCGTCGATTAACGTTTGATTACATACTGGTTTTCGATATAATCGAATTATTATTATATTTGCTTGATATTCATTTATCGATTATAGCTCCGTTGTTTTCTGTGAGAGCCTATTTTTATACTAATTTTTTCTCTGACTACGTGGTTTATGTTCTATCCCTATCAAGCTTTTCAAGACAGAACAAAGATCTCTCGCTTTCGGTAAGTATTCTTTCCTCTCTCTTGAAAGTGATTAAAGACTAAGTGGCGCCTATACCGTTTACTATCACTACATTTCCCTTTTTGCTTTGTTTTTCTACTCCGACCCACCTCTACTTTACCTGAGCTTACCGTGTGCTTATCTCAAGGTAATTTTGTTACATCTTACCCCACAATTTTTTGGAATTTAGGTTTCTTTAATTTCTAAAGCACATCTCATCCTCAGTTTTGAAAAATCTGGCATTTCGCAATCCAACCATCGTCAAACCAACAATATTTTTGATTTGTTGATTTTCAAAGCGTACCAAAATTTCAATTTTTTGAATTGAAATTTTCAATTTTCGAAAATTTACATTCCAAAAATTTTTTGGAATTTAAGATTCTTTAATTTTTTTGATTGAAGATCTTTAATTTTCAAAAAATAACTTCAAATCAAAAGTTTTTTAAAAACACAGCAACAACCTCGCATGTTCATTATTTCAAAAATTTTTAACTCAATTTTTTTTTGGAATTTAAGATTCTTTAATTCCATATGCACCCGTCTCGAGAAGACGCGGAAGGTCCATTCAGTGAAATTTCAGAGGGGGTTGAAGCCCTCAGCCTCCCCTCTATGCACGTGTCTGTCTCATACTCAATTTTTGAAAATATTTATCACTCCAACCATGTTCAAGAGTAGCAGACAGAAAGAGTTCTGCTGTTCTCTCTTTGATGCAAAAAAAGAATGGTAGCAGAGCGATGTAGATTTAAGAAAATTACTTCTAAAGTTCAAACGTATCTTGATATTTTAAATTTTTTGAATTGAAGATTTTGAAAAAAACAGCTTTTCAAATTTCCTATGTTTATAATTTCGAAAATTTGTACCGCATTTTTTGATTCTTTAATTTTTAAAGCACACATCCATCTGACATTTTGCACTTCAACCATATCGACGTAGCAGGTTTTTCTATTTTCCCTTTGATTGAAGACTTCTAAAGTTCAATGCATATCTTCATATTTTTAATTTTTTGAATTGAAGATTTTGAATTTTTAAAACATTCATTTAAAATTTCACATTTTTGTAAAACTAATTATAAATATCTGCAATTTCCCACTCCAATTATTTTTACGTCAGTCGGAAAGGATTCGTCTGTTCTGTGTTTGCTGCCAAAAATAGAATGGTAGCAAATCGAGGTTAATTTAGGAAGAAGATTACTGTAGATCCATACTAATCGTCAAACTGATTCTATACCTCTAATTTTCAAAGCATATTCTTATAATATTAATTTTTTGAATTGTTCAAAACACATTCTTTCAAATTGTGCATGTTTACAATTTCTGAAAATTTGTAACCCAACCATTTTTTGGTATTTAGAATTCTTTAATTTTTAAAGAACACCTTTCATTTTTAATTTTTTTAAATGTGACACTCGCACTCCAACCATCGTCAAACCAAAAATGTTTGTGATTGAAAACCTCTAATTTTCAATGCATATATTCATAATTTTCATTTTTGGAATTAAAAATTTTGAATTTTTAAAAACACAGTCCTTTAAATTGCGCATGTTCATAATTTCGAAAATTTTTAACCCACAAAATGTTTGGTGTTGGCGGTTCTTTAGTTTTGAAAAAAGGCACGTACACTCAATTTTTTAAAAAATCTACCATTTCGCACTCCAACGCCCAACTATCTCAACGCAGCAGACAGAAAGTGTTCTTCTGTTCCCCTAATGTTCAAAGCATCTTTTTATTCTTCTAATTTTTAAAGCACACATCTCGTGACCAATTTTTGAAAATCTTTTTAGCTCATAACTTTAAATTTTTAAAAACACAGATTTCACGTTTACAATTTCGAAAATTTTTTCTTTAATTTTGAAACCACATCCCAATCTCAAATCTGGCATTTCGTACTCCAACCATCTGAATGTAGCAGACAAAAGATTCTTCTGTTCTCCCTTTGCTACCAAGAAACAGATCAAGGTAGATTTACGAAGATTACTGCCATCACTAATCATCATTGATTAAAGATCTCTAATTTTCAAAATTCTGAATTTTTAAAACGTTTTGAAAATTTTTAACCCAAAATTTTTGTTGAGTGTAAGGTTCTTTTATTTTTAAAGCAATAAAGCGTGTTCTAAAATTTGCAATTTAAATCTTTAATTTTCAAGACACGATTTTGGAATAGAAGAATTTATAGATCCCTTATTTGAATTTGAAAAATTGAGGATTATTAAAGCACTATTTTTTTAACATACATGATTCAACATTATAAAAATTGAAAATGCTGTGTATAATTTAAAGATAATCATAATTAAAAATGTTAGGTCGGTTTTAAAAATTACAAACTTAAAAAAAATGATTTTGGAATGTTGGGCCTTGATTCGAAACATACTCATTCTTACGATTTTTAGATTTAAAACCTAAGAATGTCGATTTGAATTGGAAAATTCCAAAGTCATCACGCTAAAATTAACTAATTATCTAAGCGTCTTTACGCGAATGGGAAAGGGTTGTATTCCTCTTGAGGTAAAGTTATTCTTTTTTGTTAACTCGTTTCATTTTAGGTTATGGTATATGTCTTAATTTACCTATCTTTGTTTTATTTATCTCGGAATCTAAAAACCCATTTATTAATGGGGTACGTAGTTCGAATAAATTGGAATTATGTCTGATTTTTGCATTGTAGTTTTTGGATGTATTTTTTGTACGTTACCAGCTTTGGGTTGATTGTATTAAAGAAGTACCGTGTTCTGGATGAAATGCAAATAGCTGGAACTGATCTATTACGTTGTCCTTTTAAATCGATTCTAACTGCCTTTGGATTAAAAAGATCAGAAGAATACTGAGAACTTATACAAATATTTCGTTTTTGCAAGGTCCTCGAGTTTTGAATAATTTAACCTATTTGCGAAATTATTTTCAAAGGGAGCAAGGTCTGACTAAAACATTCACATAATCGAGATATGGCGCTGCGAATTCCAAAGATTATTTAAATCGAGCGAAGAAACGGTTTCTGATAGGGTACCCATTTTTGAAAAATTTATTTTTTGTCAATTGTGATTTTGAATCTTTAGAGCGTATTTATAAAATTTTTCATTTTTAAATTACACAATTTTGAAAAATCTGGCATTTCGCACTTCAACCATCTTCAAACCAAAAATGTTTTTGATTCATTGATTTTCAAAGCGTACGACCTTACGTAATATCAATTTTTTGAGTTGGAAATTTTGAATTTTTATGAACACAGCTTTTCAAATCTCGCATTTTCATAATTTTTTGAAATGTTTAACCAAAAATTTTTTTGGAATTTAAGATTCTTTAATTTTTAACCAACACATTTCATTCTACTTTTTTAAAAAAACCTTTCATACTCCAATCATCTCAACGTAGCAGACAGAAAAGATTCTTTTCTTCTCGTTTTGCTGCAAAAAAATAATAATAGATCAAGGATTAATTAACTTCAAATCATAAATTTAATTTTTTGAATTGAATATTTTCAATTTTCAAAAACACAGCAAAAGTAAAATTTTTCGTTTTCACCCTATATCCAACAAGCAAACGCAGCTGGATTGATTCTGTTTGTATTAAAAGCTTCACGAAAAAGTGACAGATGGTCTTTAAAAACAACAACAATTTAAGATTTTTACAGATTAAATATTTGCAGTATGCACTTCTCTCCTAGAAGCAGGAATTTTGGCCTTGTATAATTTAAAAATAAAAAGAGTACGCTCTAAAGATTCAAGATTACCAGTTCTAAAAATATTCCTTTATTGCTTTATAGATGGCAAAAATTAAATTTCTCCAAAATGGGGACCCTATCAAAAACCGTTTCTTCGCTTGACTTAAATAATCTTTGGAATTTGAAGAGATCTGCTCGAAATGGGTTTTCAAATTATCGAGAAATAAAGTTCTTACCTTCCCCATGAAAGTGATTGTTGAACAAGCAAAGGCTTATGCACAAATTTGGAAAATTCTTAACAACAAATTTTTTGGAATTGAAGACTAATTTAAAAGCACACAATTCTCAATTTATAAAAATCTGACATTACGCCCTCCAACTATGTCAATGCAGCAGACAGAAAGAGTTCTTCCTGTTCTTCTATTGCTGCAAAATAAAGAATAATGACAGATCGAGTTAGATTTACGAAGATTATTGCTATAACCACACTGGCCGTCAAACCAAATTTTTTTTTATTCAGGACCTTTAATTTTTAAGGCATATCTTCATAATGTTAATTTTTTGGAATTTCTCAATTTTTAAAGAACCTACGATTTTCAAAATCTTAATTTTTAATCTAACAGCCCTAAGACGTGGGACCCTTGGGATTGAACTTTGAATCGATTTATTTCTAATTGTATTTTTTATTTTAATTTTTTAAGGAATGAAGAAGTAAAATCTAAAAATTTTGCGATTTTGAGTTAAAAAAATTTCATAAGGTGAGCATTTTTAGGTTTTTTTTAAATAAAAATTAAAAATTTTAAAAATGGACTATATGT